AAGCGAGCAGAGCCATAAGTCGAAAATTTGGATCTTTTTTTTTTTTTCAAGCTAATTATGAGCCATACATGAATGGAGTAGAACTGAATTGAGATCGGCTCGTTGTATTTTTTATTTATAAGAATTATATCTATAATGCTAAGTAAAATTGAATATAAAGAGTCATGAGCCAATTTGAACCTGGAATGTATTCAAATAACTCAATTTGAGCCGGTTAGTTTCAATTTTGAGCAGAATCAAGCTGATTCCAAACTGAAACGGATCCAAACAACTCAATTTGAATCAGCTCATTTTGATTTCACTTAGGATCGACTTGGGGCAACTGTAGCTTTTTGAAGAAACAATTGTGAATTTGTTGAATAAGTTGTTGAATTGGTGAAGCAATAGATGAAAAATAATTTCACTAAAAGTTACAAAAAATGCAAAAACACAAAATGTAGAGAGTTTAATGTAAACTTTAATCTGAATAATTTAGAAAGATACAAAGTTAAGGATACATGTACAGAGTTTAACGTGAACTATTGTGAAAATTAAAAATCTTGATAAAATAAGAATAAAATAACAAAATTTAAATTAAAATGATGAATCATGTTGAGACGTAGGGTCTCATATCATTCATGAGCATACAACCCGGTGAAGGACTTTTATCGTGGAGAGATTGATAGAGAGAAATGGATGAGTTTTTCGATTGAACTTTAGAGAATATATTAAATTTTGATATCTGTTAAGTCGAAGGGAGGGGACTCCTCGGAGGTTCCCTGGATTAGAGAGTTAAGGGAGATGGAAAGCAATCTCGGGAGAGGGGAGAGAAACCGGAAACCCTCTCGCTCTTCTTCTCCCTATCCTTTATATGGTAGAGAGAAAATAAATAAAATAACTGATGTAGTACATCTATATACTATATGTCGCATTTCTTCAATATCTTGATAGCAGACGATGTGAATGTCAGGTATTGTCAACCAATGTCAGATGTTGTCAGTACGATTACCATCCATGATACTTAAGTGAAATGAAAGAGTCACAAGCGTCGGCGACATCTCTAATAAGAGATTGATAGATATTATTAGTCATGATGACTTATAACTGTCTTTGCATAGATGGGCTAGGCTATCCTTTAAAGTACGATGTGAATGATTGACTTGGCAGAAGAGCTCGATTCAGCCGTCAATTCAACCACTTCGACGTCTGAGCTCGATTCACCCACTTCGGCAGGGGAGCCCAATTCACCCACTTCCGCAGGTGGGCTCAATTTAATGAGAGAAATTTAACAAAAATTTTCATATACACGTATTCATGCATGCATAAAATTTCAAATTTCATGACACCTGCCTTAACATGCAAATTTTTGCATTGTCGATGACCATAGAGTTGAGGATTTGCAACAATTCAACCAGACTTTGAAGAATTGATATTTGTCAAGCAGATATAATCATAGTTGATTTACTTCCCAGCAAATAAATGCAGGAGTTATCACATCCAAGCATATGCAGCAAACAAAATCTACCTTCGATATCTATTTATACAAAGGGTGTCAATTTTTCTAATGCAGATCTAAAATTAGCTGCACAAGATCATGCATGTAAAGACAAATTTGCAATACACAAAGTCCTTAATAAAAAATTAACCTTTTTGGGGTAAAATTGAGAAGGAGCAAAAACATAACAAATGATAACATAATGATAACCTGGATTAAAAATTTGCATCGAAATAAGGAAGATTTACGTGCATAACCACATAATTCTTAGGTACTTGCATATCTCACGCCTAAACTTCAATCTTTACATATATGCCAACTTATTTATGCATGCAGGGTATATTTCAGTCTTTAAAAGTTAAAATAGTGGTATGTTTTTTGTGACAGGAGAGATTTAGGTGGCATTAGTATAAAAAGTAAACTTTAAGAGTTGGATATGTAATGCATAAGAGTAGAGTGGTATGTATGTAAATGCCACTAGAATTTATAACAAATGAACATCACACATCAAAAACAAAATCATACCATGATTGGAAGAATCAAATTGAAATATAATTGAACAAAGTTAATCAAACACGCAAATAAATCATAAAATATAGTCTAAAAAATAATGAAGAAAAAATCCTTCCATTACGATATTTAAACAAGAAAATGACTTTCCTAAGAAGTTGGCAAACAATAAATGAACTAAACTCAAAGAACTCGGATTCAACAAGCATGAAGTTTAAGAAAGAAGAAAAAATTTTAAGAAGCTTTACACACATACCACTGAATTTTTATGTATTTACATATCTAAATTCTTAACTTCAATTTTTGCATGCATGTCACCGTACATACGCAAGAAAAAGAGTATCTCACTTTTTAAAAGTTCACATGATTGTAGTTTTTTTGATATAAAAGATGTGGGTGATCAATCCAAATATAAATTTAAGTAATCAACGTCGATTATTAATTCTGGACTTTAAAATGAAGAGTTGTAAGATAAAAAAAAAAGTATAAAAAAACATTCTCATAAAATTAGGTGGGGACACCTAAAAGACAAAAAATTATTTTTATGAGCAAACCTCAAAATTTTAAGATTTGGGCTATTTATGAAGAATCAAATTGTAGCAAAAGCAATGTTACACAAGTGGAAATGGATGTACTCAGGGAATCAAAAGAATTTTTTTTTATAAATAAAAATAGTTTATAATTGAATAATAACGTGTAATAAAAGATAAAATGTAAGTTATGCTATAAAAATTAGTTTAAATGTAAAAGTTTAGAGAACTGAAAAAAATATAAGCTGACCTGTAGAGAGTATAAGAGAACAATTTGTGACGCTAAAAATTATGTTTTCAATGATCTTTATAATACATTGAATATTAAAGATGGTGAAAAATATCTGTATAAACTAGCCAACAAACAGAAAAGAGAAGTAAAGATTTAAGTCATGAAAAGTGTGTTAAAAATGAAAATCAGAAAAGTGATTTTCTTAGAGGAATACATTCAACATAGTCAGGTGAACTATTTTGATAAACTTTTCAATGAAGCTTTTGAAAATTCGATAGTCCTTAATGATCTTAATATCATTAATAATAATAAAATATTTTATTTTTATCATCACAATAGTAAAAAAGAATTTGAAGATGCACTAAAGAAAACTAAAGGTGGAAAATCAGTAGAACCTGATGATATCTCAATCGAAAAATTGAAATATTTAGAAAATTTGGAAGAGTCTTGGCTTACTAAACTCTTTAAGATTATTTTTAAAACTAAAAAGATTTCTGAGTGGAGGACGAGTATTTTGATCCCCATTTTTAAGAATAAAGAAGATGCACACAGTGTGCAAATTATAGAGGAATTAATTTGATGTGTCATACTTTAATTACGGGAGAGGGTAATTGAACATAGGTTAAAACGCGATAGAAAAATTTTTCATAATTAGTTTGAATTTATGTCGAGCAAGTCAACTATGGAAGCTATATATTTATTAAAAGGATTGATGGAGAATTACAGAGAGGATAAAGAAGATCTATACAAAAATTTTATTGATTTAGAAAAAGCTTACAATAAGATTCCAAGAGAAGTCCTTTGGAGAGCTCTAGAGAAGAAATGTGTTGATATGCTTATATTCAAGTCATTAAACATATGTATACTATAGTTGTTCCTTTTGTTCGAAAAGAAGGATGACTGACAAAGTATTTTCCCATTTCAATTGAATTACATCAGAGATCGACTTTAAACTCATATCTTTATGCTTTAGTTATGGATGCCCTTACCAAACATTTAAAGAAGGATGAACCTTGGGGCATTCTTTTCACCGATGATATCATTCGTGTGGATAGGACTAGAGAAAGAGTTCAGAAAGAACTTGAATAATGGAGGTCTACATTGGATTCTAAAGGCCTTCGTTTGAATAGATCTAAAATTGAATACATGGAAAGTAATTTTAGTAGTAATAGCTTTAGGGGCAAAGTTGGAACTATGGATGATCAAATTATTAAAAGGTGTGATCATTTTAGGTACCTCGGGTCAATAGTTCAAAGTGATAGTTCAAAGTGATGGTGATATAGATGGGGGCATTATTAGTAGAATTCAAGTTTGTTGGTCGAAGTGGAGCAATGCATTAGGTCTATTGTGCGATAGAAAAGTATTGCTTAGATTGAAAGGAAAAATTTATAATATAATAGAAAGACGACCTGCAATGCTTTATGGCGCGGAATGTTGGCCTTTAAAAAAGAAGCATAAAACAAAGTTAAGTGTTGCTAGTATGAGAATGTTTAGGTGGATAAGTGGCTTGACACTTAGAGATAATTCGAAATGAATATATCCGTGATAGGGTTGATGTAGCTCTAGTGGCGGACAAGATTAGAGAGAGTAGTCTTAGATGGTTTGGTCACATTCAACGCCGACCATTTGATGATCTTGTTAGGAGAGTATATATTTTAGATTCGACTTATATTAAGAAAGGCAAAGGTAGATCTAAAAAGACCTAGGCGTATTGTATAAAAAAATCTTAATACATTAGAATTAAATGAAAATATGACACTAATAGGATGCAATGGAGAAAAAGAATTCATGTAGCCGATACCACTTAGTGGGATAAAGGCTTGTTGTTGTTGTATAAAAGATTAGGGTGACATAAATGTTAAGTTCAGGTGTCAGATATATATATAGATAGGAATCAGTTGGTATTTATGTAAATGCCCCAAAAATTTTATTATCATTCAATACCTTCTAGAAACTCTTCATAAAATTTTCTTCACAAATATGTATATCAAGAAATCAAAAAGAAAGGTAGTCTCAAAATGATCATTAATCATGTTGGGAATGATTGATGGGAAAATTTTCGTTATACCAATCAAAACTCCATCAAGGAATAGGATCACACTAATTCAAGAAAATCGGAACAAAAAATCAAACAAAAAACACAACAAAATAATTCAAAAAAGAATACACACTAAGTTTTAATGTGGAAAAGTCAGAGAAAGAGAAAAAAATATAGAGCTACACCAACAAGAAATTTCCACCATGAAATTCATAAAAAGTACATAAAACTCACTCGATCTCCCTCTACAAGAAATGAAACTTACAGGACTTTGCTCTAAATCTTTCCTTTCGATCCCACAAGAGAAACACACGCCAAAATCCTCCTCTTCGGCCACTCTTCACTTCACGGAAACCTTGTCAAAGAAAAGCACACGCAAAGAGATTATTTTTCGTAGCTCAAAATCGCGAATTTAATAACTTTTCCAGCAGCAACCTTCCGGCAGCATGATCACGCCGCATATCCACATCATTATTTTGCTTGCTCGGGATGAATTTGTGGATCGGAGCGGGCGCGCCGTCGTCGAAATGCTCCTGGGTGCTTGGCCGGGTGCTTGGCCTGCTGCTTGGATGCTGTGGGGTAGTGGGTGCATCCAAGGCTCCACAAGTCCAACAAATCATAGAAATTATATCATTATATAATCTCTCATGAATTGTTTCATCAGGTTACATGAGGAATCTGAGAGTTGTGTCCAACATATTTTTAAATGCTTTCTCCCAAGATAGAATACTCGGAACAGCATCTTTATAAGCCTATCGAGCTAAGCAGCTGTTAGAACTTGTGACTCAAATTTTGTTGGGCTTGAATTGAAAATTCGTAGGGTGACGTGTGACATAACCAAAACTATGGGAAAAGTTGTTGGGACATTTACATAAACACCACCCAGTTCCTATGCATGTGCATATCTAACACCTATAATTTGAACATTTTCAAGACCCAAATGTTTCATATCACATCAAAAATATCACCATTTTATATAAAGTAAAAAACCTATTCATGAAAAGGTAAGTTGGTATGCATGTAAAAATTAAAGTTCAGGTGCTAGATATGTAATTACATAAAAATTGAGTGGTATGTATGTAAATGTTCAAAAAAAATTTTAGGGGATCTGTGGTGCTACGGCCGTTTATGCTATAAGGTTTGGATATATTAGAATTTTTTGTACGCATCCATATATAGAATATTTCCACTACAGATTCATAGGTGAAGAGAGCCAGCCCTCGAACCCTCAGGCGGTATTTGTCTTCAGCGTGGATTTACTTTAAATAGGATTTACCAAATTCAACAAATCTGGCAAACTCATGACAGAGATGGAGGCCGCAAGCAACGACAGAGTAAATCCTTTAAGTCGAAAAAGAGAAAGAACGCGAAGAAAAAGTCGGAACGTGAAGAAATTTGATTTAATGGGGCACTGAATTTCATCTTCACTTTTTGATATTTGGCGTAAAGTTAAATCCAAGACTAAATCCTATTAAAAGTATGCTACCAAACGGCCCCTACGTGCTCCATTTTGTAATCTTAGTTCAGAGTAGTGAATTTTATTTTTTACCATTGCTTTTTCTCATCTTGTGTCTTTCACATAAATCTGTGTTATTTTATTTGCTATTTTACTGCTCGCCCCATTAATTTCGCAAAAATTGAAAAAAAACATGAATTGTTTGAATTTGAAGGTATAAGTGAGCAATCACTCAAGTTTCAGGGTTCATAGCATTATAATGTTTAAATTCTGAAAGATTTACATGCATACAACTCAATTCCTATTTATTAACATATTATAAACGAGCAATCACTCGTGTTTAACGGTTCATAGATGAATAAATTTTGGAAAATTTACATATATACAACTCAATTCCTATGCATTTACATACCTAACACTTAAACTTCAATTTTTAGGTCCCTTCCACGTTAACTATACATGAAAAGGTGTATTTCGTATTTTAAAAGTTAAAATGGTAGTATTTTTTATGTGATATGAAAGGTATGGGTGGTATTAAAATAAAAAAAATGTGAAATTTAGGCGTTAGATATGTAAATACATAGGAACTAACAGGTATGTATGTAAATGTCATAAAATTTTTCATCCAAGTCGAACAAATAAACACTGCATGATATATCAAAAATAACAGCCTCAAACCTAGACGCCAACATGGCTAAAGAAAACAAGAAAATACTGAGCTTTCCAGTCATATGAACAAAGCAAAATTTATTGCATATTTACACCTAAAATTGACATCAGCGCATAAAATTAATGATTCGTTAACATTATTGCACAAAAAAAAAAAAAAATCACCATGAACTTCTCTCAATCTTATCAAGCAGCTTAATTACAAACTCAAAATTACTATCAGAAGATGCAGCTAATTCAACAACTCGTAAAGAACGGTTTGTTAAGAGATTGTACCTCTCCAATTCATTAGTAGCCGCTGCCCCTTTATCAGAAGACCAATGAGAAAAAGCATGAAAACATTTGAAATCTTTACGCCAACGGTCGAGAATATATTTAGACGGAAGGTTATATTCCTGACAAAATTTAAGTACTGATAAGGCGTGCCGACAAACAATGCCCACAAAATTAAATCCTTGGCAAATACATTCGACTTCATTTCTACACGCATTGTACAAAACCTCAAAGTTCTTAAAGCCGCCTCCTTTACCATCTTCACCATTTTTTCGAAATCCACATTCTCTTACTTCAAAATATGTGACTGAACCTTCAATCTTCAATATAGAAACATTGCATTGGATGGCGGCCTTAAGCTCCTCTTGAAACTTCTGAAACATATTTGACGTGTACAACTTTGAGAGCTTTTCCTCCATGGGAAACTGCGTCAACAAGTAACGGCTACCATGAAATGATTCGAAATTCGCTTGTGCTTCTTTCTCGTAGTTATCTTCTAAAGCTGTTTCATATAAGTTGATGAATTCCTGCAGAGAGGTTTTAGAATTTACGTAATCATCAAAGTAAGAGCTTATGGATTGTCGGCGCTGTGTGGTTGACATTCCTGCCCAAAATATGTTTTTAAGATAAACTGGAACCCAAAAATGTCGTCTTTCATACAAATCATGAAGCCAACTATGAGTTTCGAGCCCAAAATATTCGATCATTGTCTTCCACCCATCTTCAAACTCTGAAACTTTCATTGAATCATAAATTATTCTCTTTACTTCTTTCTTAATAATCCTATATTGACCAAGATATCCTAATTTTTCAGGTATTTTCTTCAATATGTTCCACAAGCAAAATCTATGTCGAGAATTGGGAAAAACTTCAGAAACTGCGTGTTGGATAGTCGTACATTGATCAGTTATAATACCTTTCGGAGAACGCCCTGAGGTGCACGACGACCAAGCTTTGAATAACCACACATAGTTTTCCAATGATCTGTCGGCGAGCAGGCCGCAACCAAATAAAACAAGATTGCCATGATGATTAACTCCGACAAAAGAAACAAATGGTGAGTCATATTTGTTAAGAAGAAAAGTTGTGTCGAATGTGACAATATCTCCGAAATAATCGTACGATGATCGAGACTTGGCATCGGCCCAAAACAAATTTCTTAGATAGCCTTCTTCGTCCCAATCCAACAAATAGAAAAAATTTGGATTTTTCCTCTGCATGTCCGAAAAATATTCACAAATTTTTATTGCATCTCCTTCTTTAAGTTTGAGAGTCCCTTCCTTATGTACAGAATTCAAGGACACAATTTTATCTCCATTTTGATTAAGTGATGGCTTACCTGAAACATCCATACCTGTTTCATCAACAAAATCTGATTTTTTGGCCAGTAACTTTCTGTTGCATCGAAAATATCGAGCTTTTGAGGGGCTTAGTGAATGATTATGATCGAGAATAACATCTGTTATGAATAGGAAGTCGTCCTTCCAATTTCTAACGGTAATCATAGCTTGACAATTAGTTTTTGTTGTGGGTTTTGCGATGGAAGAAGATTGTTGATTGATGGATCCGCAGCCGCTTTTCCAACAACTAAGATCAGCCCGTCGACATTTCCCTTTTCGAAACCACGACCTTTTGATCACGACACCGAAGCCTTTTCTGTGCCCGTATTCTTTGTAGAATCTAAAAACATCATCGTAAGATTCAAAAACCATTCCAACTTTGGGTTCTTGTTCGTCTTCTCCGTTCCAGAATATAACATTCTTCGAAATATTTTCAATTGTTGCGCTTTGCACATCCTAAGACATCAAAATTATATATAATATATATACTCATTAAATTAAATTAAAGTGGCATTTACATACATAGCACACATTTCTTATATATTTACATATTTCACCACTAAACTTTCAGATTTACACGTATAATTCTCAAATCTTTACTATCACATCAAAATTAGAACTATTTGCACTTTTTAAAAGTTAAATACATTTTTTTCAAGTATAGGTTTAAATCAAAAACTAATATGTAAATTGTTAGAAGTTATATTAGAAAATAATTTATTCTTGTTAGAAGTTATGAGGATTAAATTTATTTCTTCGGATTGGAGTTATTTCCTTTCCTATTTTATGTTTTATGTTGTTTCATTTATCTCTAAGTAAGTAATTTTGAATTGATTAATTGGAGATAGTGGTTTTATATCTTTCATTTGTTATTATTTCTTTTTTATTATCGTTCTTATTCTAAGATTCAAGTAAAAGTTATTTATATCATTGTTTCATATAAATAAGCAAACTTTGTCATGTTGCAGGCCCTTTCTCCGCCTCGTTTTAGTTTTTTCGCAGGCCCTTCCTCCGCCTCGTTTTAGTTCTTTTCTCCAAAAACTCTCTCACTGCAGACTCCACCACCGGAATTCCCTCCCGCGAGCTTTCACGTCACGATTTTCTCTTCCAGATCCATTTGTACTCATCTTCAGTCACCAAATCCTATTAGCCTTAAACCATAATACCCACGATAGATTATCAAGGAACTTCTATTCTATTCACCGCGATCGACAACTCCCTCCTAAGCCTCCAGAGAGATCAAGTTCATGCCATGGATGGCCATCATGAGCTCAGCTCGAGCCAAGAGCAAGAGCTCAATTTCTTCCAGCACCGCGTCTTGCTGTTTCACTTGCCTGAGTCTGTAAGCTACTCCATTCATTCCACCTTTGCCAAGAGGAATTCTATGTCATTCTCTTCAATAACTGGACGATCCTCTCCCGTCGTCCACAGGATCGTCTTATCTCTAAGTTATAAGATCGCAGGGTCAAGGCTCTCAACGCCTACAACGCCATACACGACGGAATCGTACAAGTGAGGCAGTGGCAAAAGCACATCGAGTTTGTTCTCATTTCCTTGGATCCGTGCAAAAAAAACCCTTGTCGAGGGTCAGCTCCGCAATGTTAAGAAGGCTTTGACGGATCTCGCAGTGCTTATGCTTGATGAAAAGAACCCGATGTACATTCTAGCGCAACGAAATCGTACGTTTGGCTGCAATAGCCTGAGCTCCAGCGACGATCACCACCGTACTAGTGGCCACTTATAGTCCTTGTCCTAAAGCATTTCCAAAACATGGTCGACTACACGGCAATTGTAAGTTATTAGAAGCAGCATATATGCTACATGTAGCAATGAAATTGAGGCCACCAATGGACTTGTGAACCCTATCATAACCATGAACTCAGTTCTTCATTTGGTGATGTGGGCTTTGGTCGCTGTCATATCTTGTCCGAACCGCGGGTTTCAAAGTAATTTTAAATTCCCATGAGCTTTTCTTAAGGGGCTTTGATTTTGTCTTTGCATGATAAGATAATGGAGGAATCGAAGACGAGGGGATGGAGGAATTATGCTGGGTTGTTGAAGGAGATTCATCAAATTGATAAATGCACATGTCGTTTGTTGGAATTAGATTGATTCACTTCATTTCCCAATCTCGAAGGAGAAGGCGATGGAGTTATCTAAAAGTTTGCATGAATTAGGTATTGTGTTTGATGCTTTGAAGGAAGGATTGGAGCCATGAGAGCTCCAAGTAAGAGAGGTATTCCATCAGATGGTGCGTAGAAGACCTTCCTCTGAAGCTTTTTGCTACAGCAGGAGACCTCTGAAACTTTTTCCAGCAGCTGGAATTCTTCCTACAGCAGACCCTCCTCTGGAATCTTTCCTACAGCAGACCCTTCTCCGAAACTTTTTCTGCAGCAAGCCCTCCCCCAAAATTCTTCCGGCATTAGGCTCTCCTTTGGAGTCTTTTCCTTCATCAGGCTCTCCTCTGAACCTTTTCTTGCAGCAAACCCTCCTCCGGACATTTCCTATAGCAGACCCTCCTTTGAAACTTTTTCCTGCTACAGGCCCCTTCGCAGGCCATATCCAAGGCCGTACTCTACAACTTTCCCTGCAAGTGTTCTATCTTCTTTCTACAGACCATACACTATATTTTTTCTTGTTGGTTGTCTACTTTTCTGCAAATTTCTCTGCAGCATTACTTGTAGGAGTTTTTTACCTAACTACAGATATTGCAGAAATTGCAACCGATGACAACCACAGCAAGCTAGAAGTCAGTTTTTCCTGCAAATTGTCTATTTCCCAACAAACTTCCCTGCAGCATCATCTGTAGGAGTCTTCCGCCTACCTATAGACACTATAGAAACTATAGTCAAAGATAACAGCAGTACGTGATGAAGACTTCCTTCTATCTCAAAAAATCTTCTTCCTCATTGATTTTTTCAAATCCAAGTTGATCATTGTTTTCAACCGTGTTTCAACTTGATGAGGGGTGTTAGAAGTTGTATTAGAAAATAATTTGTTCCTGTTAGAAGTTATAAGAATTAAATTTATTTTTTTGGATTGAAGTTATTTTCTTTCATATTTTATGATTTATGTTGTTTCATTTATCTCTGAGTATTTAATATGAATTGATTAATTAGAGATATAGGTGTTATATTTTTCCTTTGTTGTTATTTTTTTTTATTATCTTTACTATTCTAAGATTCATGTAAGAGTTATTTATACCCCCATTTCATATCAATAATATTATTCCGCATTATTCTAAATTTCAACATAAATAAATATGAAATTTCAGGGGTGAGATGTGTAATTACATAAGAATCATGGTGAGGCGTATGTAAATTTCCATAAATTAAAACAAAGACAGCAGGATCAAAGGCCACAAGAAAAGCTAAAAATGATGATAACAAAAAAGAACTAGATATATTAATTGTGAATGATCATCCATAGGAACATGCGCCTTTATGCTAGGTCAAGGTTTACAGTAGAAAAGCTCATCTTTTTCTACCCCAAATAATCAATAAAACCAAGACTTTTAATTAAATAACATGAGTAAGCAATAAATCATAAAAAATTGAAGGAAAAGATTATAAACTACAGTTGTCTTCTTGCATAAGAACAAAATCTGTGATGCCTGTCTGAAAAAAGACCTTTCACACTCCTAGCAACTAAAGAAAAAAGAAGATTTACATACATTCCAATCAATTCTTATAACATTTAAACTTCAATTTTTAGATATATATATATGTCATCCTACCTATGCATGAAAAGGTCTATTTTACTTTTTAAAAGTTAAAATCGTGGTATTGTTTATGTGATTTGAAACATTTGGATGGTATAAATATAAAAAATTAGATTTATGTTAGATATGCAACTACATAAGAATTTGGCGGTATGTATGTAAATGCCCCAGAAAAAAATGGCGACGTAAAATGTAATATGAAAACAGTACTCACCACTAGCCTAGACAATCCTTCCATATAAATAAAATAAATGAAATAAAAGTAAAAAATGTAATTTACTAAAACAATTGTTATGATTTACATTACAAAATTATTGTTGTTATTGCACACAATTTACCTTCAGTATTGACCCTTCACTCAGCTTTCTTTCAGATGAGTCGTCCATCTCATCTTTCACTTGGATTTAGTGCAGAAACATCGATAATCGAGTATCACCATGCAGAACTCTGAACAATCGAGTGAAGAGAACAAGAAGAACAAGGAGGGCTGCATAAGAATTTCTTTGATTATTCCATGACAATGGTATGCTTTGCAAATTAAAAAAAAAATACAATTTGAATTCAAAATATTTCAATGTATTCAAAGATATAATAGAAGTAGAAAAACTGACTAGTAAGTTCCTACACAGAATCCTTATGTTTTGCAAACAGGCCCCTATGGAAAGGCAGATTTCAGATTTAAATTATGTTTTATTGCCACATCTATAAGCATACAAAATTGTGTGGAATGTTTTGCAAACAGGCCCCGATAGAAACCTTCCTTATGAATAGTAAGAAGAAGAATGAACAAGTATTTTGCCGAATAAAAGCAACCCAAAAAAACTTTAAAAAAAAACGAAATTATTACAGAGAAAGATATTTAAACAGCAACTCTAAAAAAAACTTTAGGACGTTTGTCTGAAAGGTTCAAAGTTCTCTTTTTCCCTAAGATTTAATATGTTTAGAGGGCTAAATTCCATCAAAAAATAAAATTGAGATAAAGAGTTGAACCACATGTTTCTATCAGAAAAAAAACAAAATCATTATTTCAAAATTGCACCTTAAGGGTGGATTTGAAATCATAAATAACAGAAGAAAGAGCTATAGCTAACAGAGCCCAAGAAAAACACAAATTTGAAAACTTACAAGAAGAAAAAGATTGTGGCAAGCAGCCATTTCATAGAATTTTTTTAACTGTTTGTGGTGATTGATCAATTTTAATTTCCATAAGCAAGAAATCTGAAGTCCTGGAACCTTAACTTAAAGTTATATTTCTATTTGTGATGAAATAATAGCCCATCTTCTTTTTGAAAATACTCATAACAACTTTTAGGCATTTTGAGTGTTTTAAAATACAACCATATCTTAATCAAATATGTCAAACATGTTTTATTTCAAATCAAAATATATAAAAATAAAAATAATAATAATAATAATAATAAATAGAAAACATAACTAAAAGTGATCCCAGATTGCCTTTAGAGTGAGAGTAGCACATAGCAAAACACATAGTCGCATATCTAAACTACTACTACGAAGTTGCTTATAATTTCACTATAATAAAATCTCTACCTTTAATTTTAAACATAAAATCATAACCCTTCATATATAGCCCATCACAAACCTTAATCTATCAAATCAAACCTTTTTTTATCCTATCCAAGGCAATTTATCAAATCATACTTTCATTTTGCACAAGAACAAGTTAAACTTCCTTTTTCATCATGAGAATTAACGATATTATCTCATAATTTATAACTAGCAATTCCGCTCCATTTTGTGGACCACTCTCTCCTCTATTTCCTCAATTTCCTTCCCTTTTCAGCAAGTCTCACTCATTATTCCTCAAATTTTCACCATAAATCCCCCTCGAAAATAAACTTACATTGAAATCCTTCATTGAATAAAAAAAGGGCATTTACATGCATAGCCCACAATTCATATGTATTTATATATCTCACAGCACCACTACCACTTTCTAAAAGTGAAATACACCTTTGCGTGCATAGGTTTAAGAAACCAAACAGCTATGTATGTAAATATTAAAGTTCAGGTGTGAGATATGTAAATACATAAGAATTGTGTGTTGTGTATGTAAATTTCCCAACAAAGAACATCTCATGGAACTTTGCTCCCCCCTTATCAATACATGTACGACGTATCTACCCAAAATCAAAAGTGATACACACCAACATAATAACTTATAAAATAGAAAACTCATTCCCCACAAAGTAGAAACAAAGCTCAAGTTGCCTTACACAGATGGAACAATCAATTATTGAGAAAATTAACAATTGCATCATGAAATCCCCAGCACAAAATTGAAGTTTGGAAGATTTACATACCTCCCAATTCATATGTATTTACATATCTAACACCAAAACATCAATTTTTACATATATGTCATCTCACCATTGCATGAAAATGTGTGTTTCATTTTTTAAAAGTTAAATTAGTGGTATTTTTTATGTAATATGAAAAATTTGGGTGGTATAAATATAAAAAGTAAATTTTATATGTTATATATATAAATACATAGGAATTAGGTGGTATGTATGTAAATACCCCTTGAAGTTTTTTTCTAGTTGTTTGCATACATAAAGCTAGCACAAAAACTATTCCACCTGAGGAAAGAAATAAGCCCCTTTCAATTGGAGAAAAACCTCAATTTGCGACTATAAAGAAGAAGAGAAGAAAGAAAAAAAGAAAAGGGGTCAATTACATACATAGTACCTAAAACTTTGCTATTTGCAAAAGTAGCACCCTTTTTCATCTGTTTTTCAAGTTCGCACTAAAATATCAAAATTTATAATAAAATCCCTACCAATATTATTCATTTTTATCAAATTACCAGTGATTTGATCGCGGCATTCGTAAATACATTGTTTCAGAAGTTCAAATAAATAACTTGGTTGCTATTTTTATAAATAGCAAATTCTTGGGTGCTATGTATCTAATTATCCAAAAAATAATAGAACAAAACTCCATTGAGCATTTCTCACAAAAAATGGAGCAAGGACTTGGAAGCTAAAAGAGATGGAAATTTTGCATGGATGAAGCCAAATTACTGAATTCACTCGGTGGGCCCGATTTTGTTTCCTTTTCCATGAACTATAAAAAAAATCCTTGACCATGTTTCCTTTTCTAACTTCACCAATATGACTCTTATTTGATAGCAAATGCAGTCTAAGGAAAATGTACATACATACCACTCAATTCGTATGCATTAGCATATATAACGCCAAAACTTCAATTTTTACATATGTGCTACCTGACCTATGAATGAAAAGTTGCATTTCAAGTTAAAATAGTGGTTCTTTTGATGCGATATAAAAGATTTGAGTGGTAGCAGTATAAAAAGTAGAGTTTAGGTGTTAGATATGTAAATATATAAGGAAAAGAGAGAGAGAGAGAGAGAAATTGGCGAAGGGAGAAGAAAGAAGATGTCAGTTCAATTACCCGTCTTGATATCTTTAACCACACTTTTTGAAACACCAAAAAGGGCACACAATAATTAAACTTTCAGTACACAACACACCATCAACTGCAAAACCAATTACTCAGCGATACAATACACACTTCCATTTCATATATTTTCTCTATTTCAAAATACAGAAAGGAAGATTTACACACAGACCACATAATTCCAATGTATTTACATATCTAACAGCTAAAAATTCAATTTTAACACATATGACTCCAAATATATGCATGAAAAGGTGTATTTCATTTTCTAAAAGTCAAAATGATAGTATTGTTTATGTGATATAAAAGACTTGGTTGGTATTTAAGCAAAAAAAAAAAGTAAAAGTTTAGGAGATAGATATGCAAATACATTGGAATGGGAATCGAGTGACATGCCCAATACAGAAAACACAAACTACCCAAAATTCAAACATATTGCAAAACACTTCAATCTCAAATTAAGAAAACACCAATCTTCAACATATAAACATTATGATAACAGAGAAAAAAGAGAGGCGATTAAGAGGGAGGAGAAAAAATATAAGATTAGATCACTAAATTAGATCTTACTTCTTAAAATTTGATTCACAAATATAAACAAAAGATATAGAGAGAGGATGAAGAATTCAGCTTACCCAACACCACGGATCAGGAACTGACAAAGTTGTTAATCAATCATCAGCACCGATACTTCTTCAATTTCAAATATTTCTCCACAATTTCCCGTTAGAAAAAAAAAATCATCTCTAGTATAATTCAACTGTGAAGCAGCTCTCCGCTAAGATCTCAAGGTAAGAAAAATAGAAATCAGAGCATTACCAACTAATCCCTAAGCCTGATTCCTTCATAGAAGCAACACAGAGAATCCAAAATCGGGTAAACGGAGCTCCAAAGAACTATCGAAAAACCTAAAAAATATTAAAAGAAAATACTACAGACAAAAAAAATTACTCGAATCCTGATTCCTTCATAAAAAGGAGAATCCAAAATTGGGAGAACGGCGCGCAACCCTAAAATTGCGAAGAAAAACCATTGGAACAAAAAAGTATGATTCATCTGTCAGAAAGTCTTGGGATCATCCAAGCCGTTAATAATCGACTTGGAACGATCCTCCACAGCGTTGATCCGAAGAGTTGGATCTCAACCGTTAATCACGCCCTGACCCCAAGACCACGTGTCATCAACCAGATTGAGTTGCTTGCCTCTTTATTTGTTAAAGATGCAGCTGTACGATCCTATAGAACAGATCCTGTTCAAGTAAGGTCGTGATTTCCACCTCCCGAAGATATCATATAAACTAAAGAATATTCTCTGTAAAACCAATGTGGGACTAATATTTAGAAAAATCCGTTTTTTCTTGAAATATGGGATATTAGCATGAAATTTTGGTTTCTTTATTTTAGTTGGATGAGTTAGAAATTAGAAAAAGCCATGAACCAATAATTAAAGTATAAATTATTCAAATTTGAGGAGCAAATTTTATAGTTAAGAAAAAAACAAAAATGTTTTTAATATATTATAGTTTTTGTTAGTGTTATAAAATAAACAGAATTATATGAATATTTATTTATGGGATAGAAAAGAATATGGTTCACTGGCCAAAAAAAATTATAATTGAAATATGTAATGAAAATTAATCAAAAAATAATTAAAGTTATTAAACATAAATTAAGATAAATAATTTAAAGAGATAAAATAAATATTTGGTCTAACCTGTATTAAGATTTATTTTCAAAGCAATAAATCCAAAAAGTCCCGTGTAATTAGGTAAAGAATTAATTTACTTCATTTTAGAAAATAAGCCTAAGGATAGGCTATTCATGACTCAATAAAACAAAACATTTTCTTTGGTTGGTTATCAAGAGTGACTTAATATGTCCACAAATATATATTATCAATTATCCATAGTCGATTATATACAAATTATATACACATAGGCATAAAGGATAAGGGAGATAAGAAAAAGATAAGAGAAATGAATAGGCGGAAGAAGAGAATATTATACACTATTGTTCGCCACATAAGAGCATTATAAAAGGCTTGTCGTTGAATTCTTTTTTTTTCTTTTACATCGGATTATAAGGATTTGAGCACTATTGAAAAAAATAAAAAGAAAGAAATAAATTATTCATTGTAATAAACCTCAAATTTCAGTAATCAAGCCCATCATAGAGTGCACATGAATGGTTGTCTTGGCATATCCTCGAATGCATATGTCGTCAAATGAAAGAGGCTACCAACTGATTTGACAGGGCCGCCACAGAAAATGAAACGATAAATGGACTCATTTATAACTCAATTGAGCCGCCTTTGGAATGGGCAAGTACCCTTTAGATTGGGGAATTTATTCTTTTGGTTGGGGAGAACCCTTTCAAATGTGAGGTTAACTCTCATAATTTGAATGAGTTTACTTAAATCGAAGAGCCCTCCAAAATTGGGCTAGCACTTATATATAAGCTTAGCAATATAAATATTTTGGCCAAGCATGCACGCTTGAGATAGTTATTGGATTGCGTGTATGTGTGGTCCCAACTTTTGGGCAAGTTCCTTCATTCACAAGATTGAGTATCCCTTGATTCAAGCAGTTTCATTCTCATCATCACTCAAATATACGTATTTTTTAGTGTGTATTTAGGGTTTGTTTGGGTTAGCTATTTCTATCTGAAAAACTAACTTTGAAACTACTTCAAAAGAAGCTACAACGACTATTATAATTTTTTTTCAAAAAGTAATATCATAGCTTTCTTGCAGTTATTGCACTTAGTCATGTCAGATTGCAGAACACAACTTTCCATCACAACTTATTGAAAAAGTAGGAATATGCAATTTTGACAAACAAAAAAATTGTGGTGATGCACCGCACTGCTACTACACAGTGGTGCCAAATATACCCTTAGTTTACTTTGGGGCAGCTGCAATTTATTGAATAATTTGTTGATAGACTGATTAAAAATATCTGCTGATAAGCTGGGTGTGGTGGGGGGTGGTGGGCTACTAAAATTTTTTTTTTTTTTTGAAAAGTCAGATCGCAGCCAGAAAGTTGCCACCGCACCGGTGTGAAAATACTGTTTTTGACGTTTTGAAAACACATAAGCTGCTAAAACGAAGATTACCCAAAGTCATGTGCATTTTCAAAACACCACCGCACCAAATAAACTGCCTCAAACATACCCTAAGTCTCTAAATCTTTTTAAAAGTGATTTTCTACTGATGGAAGAGAATTGAAAATTTAAATATATATTTTTAAATCATAAAAAAAAATAGTCTTGTCATAACATCAAGCAAATACGTTATAAATATAAAATGAAGAAAATAAGTTGTTAATTTGATATCAACCTATTGAGGATGGGCTCTAACAGGTAAAGTCAAGACTTGAGTTGATTTATGTGTTAACTTCGATAAAGCTCCATAACACTTATGAGGAAAGCATGATGACATAATGAGCTAATTTTGACTAAATTAGTCATCTCATGATTTGAATACCTATCCATTTACATAACACTCAATTCCTATCCATTTACATATCTAACCTCCAACACTTCAATTTTTTTACCATCTTACCTATTCCTGAAAATGTGTGTTTAGCTTCTAAAAAGTTAAAATGGTGGAATTTTTTATGTAATATGAAACAGATTTGTGTGGTATAATGCAAAAAATAAAATTTAGGCGGTAGATATGCAAATATATGAAAATTGGTTGGTATGCATGTATTTGAATTTTTCAAAGAGGTTTTGTTTTTTATATGATTTATTATTGGTTGTTCAGAAAAGGAATTTAATGAGAATGGGGTTAAGTCAATAATATTGTAGTGATATTCCTTACATTTTAATCTTTTAATTATTTAGGATGCAACTTTATTTGTTTAACTTGTATCTTATAACATTAAGAAAAATAGTGACATTTGGGCGCCCGTTTGTTTTGGCTTTTAAAAATTGATTTTTATAAAAACACATTTTATGAGTCTTTGGGGGGCTCAGTTTTTCGCCCCAGTTCGTTCCTGCGGCCTAAAATATTATTTTCGTGACCGCGGGTGAGTGTCTGTGTCCCTCAATTTGTGAATAACATCGAGGGTTTTTTCGTTTAATACTATTTGTGATGAGGAAGAAATCGAAGGTCTCTTGTGGTGAGAAGAACAATTTAGCCTATTGTGATGAGAAAAAAATATTGTATTTTATTTTTTTCTACAATGATGATGTTAAATCCTTAAATAAACTATTCATTTAAATGTCAATGGTTCTTTTTTTATTTTGAGTTCTGGCGCACCAAGATATTTTTTTTTTTGTGGTTTTTCTCTCATTCGGCAACTTGAGCTCGGTGTTTTGAGCATTTAGGGGAAATGCTTATTAAATAGTGGAAGCATTATTTTTTGGATGGGTTGTAGGCCTGATTCGAATATTCAAGAAAGTGGTCTACGCATTGGAAGAACTTTATTTGGATGGTTTGACGATTGGTTTATCCTCAACATTGTTTATTGATGTATTATGAAGATTTTTCTCTTTATGTTCTTCAATTGTGGGTATTTAACCTACCACATGTTTCATATTTATTTACATATGAATTTTTTTGACATATGCTTGCTTGAAATTGAGTTAGGAAATAGACCAACAACTCATTTTAGCAAAGAATGTTGGCAAAATTTTACCAAAAATTTCCAAGAAAAAACGGAGGATTGTATCACCGAACACAGTAAAAAAAAGGTAGAATCAGTTAAAAAAAGATTAGAAATTTTGACAAAGCTCAAAAGAGGATCTACGATACTTGGTTGGGATGCATAAAGAACACCATTAATGCATTGCTTGAGTGGTGGAAGGAGAAGTTAGAGGTACGAAAATTTGAATGAATTATCTTGTAATTCTATCAAAACTATTTCAGTGCATTTGTTGTTATGAATTCTTATTTTCTTGTATGAATAGCAGGCGGTACCAACTGCTAAAAAAATTAAGTACGATTGATCGAACCTAAGCTAGAGGAGAAGCTTGATCTCATGTTTAGCAGCGTTCTCGCAATGGGAGATAATGTATGGACTCCTCTAGAATCACGAGAATACAGAGATAACCCAACTAAACCAGCATAAAAAGCATCTTGTGACATCCATGAGCACAGTGAAGCCAGCCATGCAAGGAAACCAACCTCTAAAAGCAAGGGTTTGTCAAAATAAAAAATTGTTCATGCTTATCTGAGGGGTCAGATATCAAAATTGGCTACAATATGTACCAATTTATCTTATGATGCTAACACAGTAAAAGCCTCCTCATCCATTCCTGATGTGATGAAGATTTTAGAGGAAATTGTAGAAGTTTATGAGGACATACAATTGTACTTATAGTCCTTAAAGCTGCTTGAAGATCTTGTTAAAAGGGAGTTCTTCATAATGATGGCAATAACAACACAATAACTAATTTATTTAAACTCTATGTTATTTCAAGTGCACTCTGTTTTTTAAGCTTCATTTCTGTAAAATAACTACTTCTATGGCTATGTTGGTGTCTATGCTTTCTATTGGTTGATGGATGGTGGAACAATTACTTATTGTTCTAATTTTTAATGGGCTAGATTATGCTTTGATGTTGTCATTCGCCTTGAATATTATTTGTTGATGTTATTGTTTTTTTTAGCAATAGACGCTACCAATATAGAACATAGAGAGTTGCAAGAAAATTGTTTTGGCGACTATCTATTTGCTTACCGAGTATAACAATTCATATATCGCTAGGCCTCCATAAATGAAATTGCCTTTTACGGGTGATAAACGGATAGGGAAAATGCTTCGAGGTCATCCAATACGAATTCATAACATGCTTAGTATGAGCCAAGTCATCTTTATTGATCTCTTAAATTTGCTTCACATCATATATAGTCTACATGGTTCCTCTAGAATGACTTCGCGAAAGGTTTTGACAATAGTCTTATATACATTATCACATAATCAGTTCATTAGAGCAGATTGCGTGAGATTTCAATGCTCAACTAAAACCATAAGTAGATATTTTTCTATTGGACTGAATGTTTTAGTACACAAGTCCTCTGAAATCATCAAGCCTGAAGATCTAACCTTTCATAAGATCCCAATACAAATCTTCAGTGACCAACGACACATGTCATACTTTAAGGTATATTTAGTCATTTGTTTTTTTAGCGATGACATATAAATTTTGAATTATAATCCATTGGCGTAGAATTGTATTGGTGCAATTGACAGTGCACATATTGACATATGTATCAAATATTGATAAGATCGCATACATTGGACGGTGTGGATCACCAACACAAAATATAATAGTGAAGTCTGACTTTAATATGTGTTTTACATTTATTATGGTCGGGTGAGAGGGAAGCGCTCACGATAGTCGCATTTTCAAATTTGTCACTTGACCTCGTGTGCAATTTTTCACTCCTATCTCAAGGTCAGTTGATTGTCCAAATGGTTCTTTCAATTTGTTCAAGTGAAGCTAGCTAATCATGAACAATTACTGCAGGAAAATATTATTTAGTGGATGTTTGTTATCCATTACAAAGAGGTTTTCTAAAGCCATATTAAAACACAAAATATCACAAACCATATTTTGAACAGGCAAGCCAAGTAGTATGAGGAAGGAAGGAGATGTTCAATAAGTGTCATTCATCATTAAGAAATGTTATTGAGAGGACTTTCCGTGTATGGAAAAAAATGAGTAATTCTTCGTGACATGCCAACATATCCTTTAGAAAAACAAGTTAAAATTGTTGCCGCAATAATGACCTTTCACAGTTTTATCCGCCGTCATCATTCACAATTTCATGTTGATTTCGCAAGTGTTGACAAAAATGAATAGGTACCGCCAGAAGTGTTTGAATATCGAATGGGTCAAACAATTGCAAACAACAAAGAAGTTGTTAGTCAAGCGGTTGGTGATGATGAAGATTTCGAAGAGATGACAGAGTTGTGTGAAGTATCATGGATGCTCTAGTTAAATTTTGATACTATCTATATTGTAGAATAAGTTATGATTGAGCGTGCTAATGTAATACGCACTCCAATGTGTATTCGTTCCTTCACAATTTTACTGCCTTTATGTGACATTTGTTTGAGGGGAAAATATTTAGCAATTCACTATTCTTGGTTTCAAAGTGGCCATTACTCTTCTTTCTATAGCTGAATATGAAACTATGGGACATTGATATCTAATGTACAGTTGGTTTTGGTTTTGGTTCATCAATCAAGCAAACAAAAGAAGTTGAGGCGTTAGATATGTAAATGCATAAGAATTGAGAGGATTTGATTGCATTATACACATTAGCTTTTATTGCTTTCAAAATTGTAATGTGTTTAGAGATGTGCTCGATATTGACATGCACACGACTTGTTTCCAATGCATATGAATGTATACATAGGGAATTGTGTGGTATATTTGTTAAAATGGTACCCCTTAATTCTTATGCATTCACGTGCTAAAACCGAGGGTGCATGGTGAAATGCCTGTGGCTAAAATGGCTTTCGCTAGAATGTGTGGCTCGTTTTGTTTATGAAGCATGCTTTTTTATAGGAATCTTTAACCAAAGAAGATGAATAGAAAACTGGTCATAAATTTTGAAAATATTCTTGTTTTGCATGATATATTGCTAAGCTTACTCCAATGTGTCATGTCATTAAGGATGGAATTGCTTGTTTTGAATTATATTTAATGTCGTTGAGACATGGAGATATATGCTGAAATGGAATTGCCTACTAGTGCCTCTTTTGCAGTTTGGCACTTGCCTCTTTATTCGAGTGTTATTTTTTATGATGAGTCATTTCACCTAATGGGTTCTTCTGAATGGTCTTTTATGCTATTCAACACATTGATTTGCTCTTAAGCGATTTGGCAACCAAGAAACCCTATATCATGGGCCCATTGCTTACTTCTCATAGCAGATTATTTATCTACTTTTATTTACTCTGAACCCTGATACTAAATGTACATCCCAACAACTATTATGGTTATATTGTTGTTGGAAGGCAAAATCAGATGCTTTCGTATGGCGGCAACTCGCAATTGATGTTAGTACATTGTTGGTTCAATTGTTTTTGTTGGATGGAATGCTTAATATATAACACAGGCATGATTGTGTTCATTTTATAATTATTAAGAACTTCTTGATGGGTTTAGAAGTCATGCTTGTTTTAAGGGTCAATTTTGATAAAGTTTTTTAAGTGATTGGCTCCTCCATGAATATGAGAGTGCAGTTGTGAGAATTATAAATACACACGCATAGAGCCTTTTCTTGTTATATTTGGTGTTGGATGATTGGTTATATCATATTCATCCAATGATGATTTTTGGTAAATTCTATTTAAGCGTAGGTTTGTTGCTTTGTTGGTTATTTTTGAAATTTTTGTTTCCTGTTAAGGCAATCTTTCTTTCCAAAAGAGTGCAAAAGGCTTTCATGTGGAGCTCCCCTGTTGGGATGGTATATAAGTTTTATTTTAGGGAGCATTTACATACATATCGCATAAGTGATGTATTTACAAATCTTACACCTAAACATTCATAATGCCTCGCATACCACTCTTCATTCACTAGATGGTGCAGCTAGTAATAGCTACGTACGTTAATACATACTAATTGTGTGTTGTGTGTGCAAATTTCTGTTTTCTACAATCATATTCACATACATACAAAATTTTACTATTATGAATTAAACTCAAGCAATTCAATAAACGCTAATGAGTCCAAACAATGACTAGTTTTCTGTTATTGTAATCTATTATGAGTTGTTTTCACAGGTTAAAAAGGAGACAATGCAAAACGAAAATTCATAAAGTCCAACGAATTTGATGAATAGATATCGCAATTTTTTTCAGTAGGTTGATGAATAAATCAAAGCAATATAGAAGCGAGCTGACGAGAAAATATATTCAGTTAATAATACGATGTAAAATAATGTAAAAGACTTAAAATTTCTTGCAAAGGCTTTACTCGAGTTTAATTTTGTTATTGTGATATTACTTCTGTTGTTACAATCGTTATATTTGTTTTGATTATATTTTTATATTCTCAAAAAAACATTTGAGATTTTTATTTTGTAAACAAATTTGTATTTTTTGACTGAGATGATTAAAATTCAGAATTTCAGAATTCAATCAAGCAACCAAACAATTGGACTCTGAACCGTGACATTAAACAAATTTGTATTTTTTGGCTTGGACGTTTATATACACAGCGAAGTGAGGCTTAGGGGAGCATTTGTAAGCCCAAAGTTGAACTCTTAATAGGCCTACTACCTTCAGCCAAGATGCCGAATATCTCTACAACCAAATCAGAGCTATGCTCATTGTTCACTTGGACTGGAAAACTTAATTGATCTGCAACAACAACAACAACAAAAAAGTCTTAATTAATCTGCAAATGTAAGAAAACAGAATAGACTTCACAACTCCCAACAGAATAGACTTCACATATCTAGCACCGAAATTTTAATTATAATACTAACATTTATACAAATAAGTAATTCACAGTCTAAAGGAGAATAATCTAGACTGCGAAAAAAAGTGCTATGAACAAATTTTTAGCATAAAACCAAAAAAATAAATAAATAAAAGACAGACCGGAGCAATGGAACACTGTGCCATAGAAAAATTTTGGCAGAACAGGCCTTATGAAGAACATAACTGTTTGAACAATGGAAAATTTGCATAAACATACCACATATTCTTATCTATTTACATTTCTAAAACCTATCAATTGTTATTTAAATTTATAATACTTTAGTGCCAAAAACCTCACTTATTCATTTTTAAATCGCACGTAATTGTGGTTTATTTATGTGATTTTAATGGTTTTGTGTGATGCATGTTGATGCGAGAGTTGTTAGACATGTAAATACATATGTATCTATGTAAATGCCCCTGGAATAATTTCTAAGAGAACAAGGATCAATATTAGGCTTAACAGCGAGAGAAATAAAGACAAAATATGATTGATTACATAGACCATCAGAAATAATGATATTTACAAATTAACCATCAGGAGAGAATTTGATCAAAATTAAAAATATGGGCTGGAGTTTAACATGATATTTGATATTTGAGTGAAAATTTGAAAGAGATGAAAGATGGTGGTTGATTTGCAAATAGACTTGAAAAATGGATAAGAGAGGGTGGTTGATTTGTAAATGGCAAGTTTCCAGTGATCTGAATGTCATTGCACCCAAAAATAAATAAATAAATAAAACTCAAAACAAGCAACACTTAAAGTTGAAAGTTCTCATTTTATACCACAACAATAACAATCCTTTATCCCACTAACTGGGAAAGGCAAAATTATCCTTTTTTATCCATTGAATCCTATAGAGAGTTGTAATTTCTTTTAATTTTTAATAAATTAAGATCATTTTTTATACAATTTGCCCAGCCTTTTTATGTCTAAGTCTGACTTCTTTAATATAAATTAAATTTAAAACATTTACTGATATTGGACATCAAATGGTGGGCGTTTTATATGACCAAACTATCTAAGACGACTCTCTCTAAATTTATCTCCAAATTAAGCTAACACTAACCCTATCACTGATATAATTCTTTTAGTTCTCATGTAACACCAAATAAAAATTCTATAAAAAAAAACACTTCTTCAAATATTAAACATTGCTTTTTTGCATTTATACCACCCAAATATTTCATATCACACATCTAAAATATCTACTTTTCAAAAGTGAAATTCACTTTTTCATGCATGGATAAAGTGGCCTGTGTGCGAATTAAAATTAAGGTGTTAAATATAGAAATACATGAGAATTGAATGGTATGCATGTAAATCTGCCAATAAAAAATAGCCAATACAGCAATTTCTTAAATAATGGCCTCAGATTTGCAAAATAAAATCACTAGTCAACCAGTCCCGAAAGATGGTAATGGTGTCATTTAATGTCCTCATAGCCCAATTTTAAATAATTTAGGCTAAACAGAATAAAAACAAAAAAAAATGCTCACAACTTAAAAGTTTTCATGTTACACCAAATATAAAAATGAAAGAAAATAATTAGAACAGCATTTGCATATAAAATGGCCTCAGAATTGCAGAATAACTTCATTAATGAATCAGTCCCGAAAGATGGTAATGGTGATATCTGATGTCCTCATAGGCCATATTATTAAAAATTTCAGCTAAATGGAACCATTAAAAAAACTTAAAATATGCAAATTTTAACTTTGAATTACTCATGTAGCACATAATCCAAAAAAAAAACAAAGGTTTAATCAGAATAACATTTGCTTACAAAATGGCCTCAGAATTGCAGAATAACATCAGTAATCAATCAGTCCCGAAAGATGGTAATGGTGATATTTGATGTCCTCCTAGGCCATATTTTTAAAACTCTAAAAGCAAAACTCAAAACATGCAACCTTTAACTTAAAATTACTCATGTTGAATAAAATAAAATAAAACACATAATAGAAAATTAATCAGAACAGCATGTGCTTACAAAATGGCTTCAGAATTTCAGAATAATATCATTAATTAATTAGTCAAGAAAGATGGTAATGATGATATTTGATGTCCACCTGGGCCATACTTTAAACTTTTAAGCTAAACAGCACCCAATGAAAAAAAAATCTAAACATGCAATAAAAAAGTACTCATGTTGCATCAAATACAAAAAAAAACATTAAACAAATATAATCAGAACAGCATTTGCTTACAAAATGGCTTCAGAATTGCAGAATAACATCATTAATCAATCAGTCCCGAAAGATGGTAATGGTGTAATTTGATGTCGTCATAAGCCAATGTTTTAAAAAATTAAGCTAAACGGAACGGAAAAAAAACCATTGAAAATGACAAATTTGTTTCGGAAAGCAATAGAGCAACTAATTTTGAGGTTGAACTCTTTTCCAAATTCCTACAAACAAAGTCACAAAAAGACTATAACAATGAAATGAAGTAGATCATTAAAAATCCAAACAGAAGATCATTCCATTTAATGCACAAATAAATTCATAGCAATTTTTTTTTTGCGGAACAAGTATGGCTGACAATTATATGGTGAGAAACTGAATTATAAATAAAACAAGTTGAGATTTAAATTTATGCAATTTGAAATGAACTTAAGTACCTTTGAAGAATTTCTGCCCTACAACTGACCCTTCATGATTTCTCATGTGAGGCGAGCCTCAAGTCATACTTCAAGGCATCCATGAAATATTTAGCGTTTGGAATGATTTTTTTAAACAAATATCCATTTTTTTTTACTAAAACCCCTTTTACTTTTTCATTCATCTCCTTCAAAGCTCAAGGCCTCCCGAACCACTGAACCTAGCTCTTGGTCGTGCCCCCAGGTCTCAACTGCAATATGTAGAAACATTTAGATAAAAATAATGCCAAAATGAAAGACAGTGACAAAATGCACTTATATGTTTAAAGTGAAACTCCTCTAACAAAATGGTCGAAGAATATGAAACAAAATGAATCTTTTTGTGTTTCTCAAGAATATTGCAACATTTGCAAAATACCAAAAGAGAATAAAGAGAATATCCATATTAACATGAACAAAGCAACAGTGTTGAAGCATTTAGATAAAGAAGATATGAAGCCAAAGCAGACTTCAGGTTATATAAATTTAGTGGATACTCTCTTTTATCTCTTTAGGCATTTTCGCAACGTTCAAATATTCTAGCGACACACAAAAGGAAGATATGAAGACAAAGCAGATTTCTGGTTATACAATGTTAGCGGGCCTAGTGGCAAATATACCTTATCCTCTTTGTCATAAATGCCAAATAGAGGTCCAAGGGAACCCACAAAACAGTTAAATAATGAATATGTAAGATGATAAAGATGATGGCACAAGGATAGCCTATCTGATTTCTCCTAAAAATGCAAGAGATACTCAGAGGCATATGTGTGGTTGAAAGAATATTTTATGAAAACGTTATACACCAACTTAATTTTGAAGCTTCATCAACTTTTATCAACATGATCCCTTCTACAAGTTCATGTGATTAAAATCATAAGCCTCCAATTATGTAAAAATTGAGGATAAGCTCGATCAAGATTTTATTTAAAAGTCCCTACAATATTATTTTTTTTTAACTTGTAGAATCATCAAATCAAGAAAAGAATGCAGAGTATAATTAAAAACTTCTTGATAAATCATATAAAAGATTGAAAACAAGTCATTAATGATATTGCTAGCAGTTGTAAAATGACAAAAAATTAAAAAGTTGATAGAGATAAGAAAGCATATTGCAACAGATATCATGTAAAGCATATTGCATAGATTTGATCCCTGAAAAAAATTGAAGAGTTGCCTCAGTGTAAGAATGCCTTGATTGTAACGAGAAATTAAAAAAAAAATAACTCTTATGACCTACTACAAATAAATTTCCATAGGCATAATTTACAAAATATTTTGGAAGAAAGAGAATATTTGGAGGCTATCTTCATTTTCATACAATGGTTAAACTATGCTACATTAAAAAAAAATGAGAAAAAAAGTACAAGAAAATACTTTTGGCTAAACTTCAGTTAACTGTGATACAACAATAGCTGAGCCTTATTCAAATTTTAAGAATGAAAGAGAAAAAGCTAATTATAGCCTTCATTAATAATGAGATGGGTATAGCTAAGAAGATAATTACACATAATTTGGGAAAAGAAGAATCTAGCTTTAAGAAAATTTATGAAATAATTGATGAGAAGTGGAATCCCCAAACTTATCATCATTTATGTTACACAACAGGATATCTTAATCCTCAATTTCAACAAAAGAATAATAAGCCAGCCAATCCTAATATAAAACTTGTTTTATACCACTATATGGATAGATTGATGGCTGACTAAAGCAAACAAATGCCAATTTACAACTTGTGTTATTAAGAGATAAGGATCTTTTGGGCTACAAGCAACTGAATATACAATTGCAAAGAATTTCCCATATAATTTTACGCATTCGTTGGTTAACAGTTCAGTAAATTTACATGCTAATTTAACTGTGCTTTTTTAATGTGTTAGAACGATGTATTTAACTTCATGATGGCACTCTAAAATCACAAATAATTACTATTGAAGAATTGGATCGTACAAGTTTTTCATCTAATTTTAAGCAATTTTAAATTGTATATAAACAAATTCAAGCCAAAAAAAATTTAAATAGTTTGACCATCTTTAAGGATAAACTACTAAATTTATCCTATGTACAACAAAAGATTAAAAGTACATTTTGTCAAAAAATAAAGGATTGTGAAAATTTGCTAGTTTACAATAATGTGCCCTTAAATAATGAATGGTTAACTGGCATTATAATAAAATTCAACCGCATCAATAAAAAAAGAAAAAAAAACAATGTTTATTTCTTCGATGGAGATGAGCAAAGTAAAAAAATAAACACAGATCATTAAGAATTAATAAAAAAGTTCATAGGAATTTATATAATTAAAGTTGCAAATAACATTGTCACGACCCGACCGGAGCTTGGAGTTAACTAGGACAGAAACAGACGGTTGGACAGTGGAAACCAATTCTCTGCTATTCTAATTCCATCACTAACAATTTAATATTCAAATAATACATGAAAGAGACAATAAAGAAAGCAATTCAAATTAACAAGTATAAATTTGTACCTTTTTGGTTGTTCTGGCCTCTTGTCTACATTTGCTCTTCTATTCATCTTGTTTAACTCGACTGAAATCTGAGATACACTTTAAGTTGTCGAAATTTATTAAATTTCTCAAAAATTAGTTATTACAAACGTGATCATTATTTTAAATTTTAATTAACATTCACATTTGTATCTATTAACTAAGGAAGGGGAAATGGTTGCTCTTAGATATAAGAATGAAGATTAAGAAAATATTAACACAGCTAAAGTCCGAAGAAATAACTTAGTTCATTATGAGAATGATTTTAATAAAAACTCACTCAATTATGAGAATAATCTGAACTTTTAAAATTACAAATTTCAATATCAATGGCTTGTTATGTTATTACTTCGATTTAGGACTGGAAGAAACTTATTGAGTTAATTTAAATTGTTATATTCTTACTTTAATAACTTATTGTCAACTCTAAAACATGCTCCGCAAAAGAACTCAATCAAGTACAACATCATTAAGAAAATAATGTGATGTCAAACTAGGTATTCACTACAAGTACATAGATGCATCTAAAACATTTAAATTTCCTAAGATGGAACATTCTATCACTAAATTTTAGCACAAGATAAACGATCAAACATACTCGGGCAGAAGGGAAAATTTAAAGAAAAGCTTGAGAGCAAAAATGATTAATGTGATGTCAAACTAGGTATTCACTACAAGTACATAAATGCATCTAAAACATTTAAATTTCCTAAGATGGAACATTCTATCACTAAATTTTAGCACAAGATAAACGATCAAACATACTTGGGCAGAACGGAAAATTTAAAGAAAAGCTTGAGAGCAAAAATGATGAACTATAAATGCAACCTCACATGATATCAACTCGGAGCGTTTCAATCTCGATCAGAAAATGTCGGTCATTGCACGCTTCCTAGAATGGATGAAGCCAAAGTGCCCGGAACACCAAAATTATGTAGAAAACACTCGGTGTGTTGGTAAAATCAATGAGAAAAGAAAAGACATTTTTCCATTCAAAATGATGAAAAAAACAAACAACCAATTCAAAAAGAAACGAGAGCACCATGTGTTGGGCTAAATACCAAACCATAATATACTAGGCAAAAATAAAACCAATGCTACTCAAATTTTAAATATGCAAAAAAAGGCGGTTTATGATTCAAGTCATTGATGAAAATCCACTAATGTGCGAGTAACAAAAAATTTTCAAGAGAGTAAGCATAAATATTTAAAAGAAAATATACATTAAAATTATGAAAGCTAAAACTATTGTAATTAGCATTCTTTTTTCAATTAAAAATTTTAGTATAAATTATGCATTCATTTATAATTGGAAAAAGTTAAAAAAATAAAAACAATCCAATCCCCATCAAATATTCCAGTATCCAACACTTGTATTTTGCTATTTTATCCCTCAAAAGGATAGAGAGACACAGGAATCTCTGACGAGAGAATGCCCACATTTTACAAATACTATTTACCAATCTGAACAAGAAATGTCATAGAGGCAGCATGTTCATGAAACAAACATTCAAGTAGCAAACTAATAACTTCGTACCTGGACAAAATATCAAATTATACATATCAAATACATAATTACAAATTATTCCAAGAATGTTATATAATGGCCTCAGAATTGCAGAATAACATCATTTTGAACAAATCAGTCCCGAAAGATGGTATTGGTGTTATTTGTCATCCTCATAAGCCAGTCATTCAGAAATTCGAGTAAAATGTTAGAAAAAAGGGGAATTTACATTCATAGCACACAATTCTTATGCATTAACATATCTCAGGCATAAACATAATTACAAATTATTCCAAAAATGTTACATAATGGCCTCAGAATTGCAGAATAACATCATTTTGATCAAATCAGTCCCGAAAGATGGTAATGGTGTTATTTGGCATCATCATAGGCCAGCCATTCGGAAATTCAGATAAAATGTTAGAAAAAAGGAGCATTTACATGCATAGCACACAATTCTTATGTATTAACATATCTCAGGCCTAAAATTTCATATTTACACACATGCCACTCAAATCTTTAACATCACATTAAAAATAGCACTTTCATCACCTCTTAAAGGTGAATTACACCTATTGATGCATAAGTATAAAGCACCAAAGCGCTATGTAAGTAAAACTCAATGTTTCGCGTGAGATTCATAAATGCATAAGATATGTAAATTTCCCTAGACGAAAAAAAAAAACAGAGCAGTGACTGCACATTAAAAAATCATTCATTAATGTTAGCGCAAACACTCTAAAAAATTTACTAGACAAAAACATTTCACCTTGCATAAGCTTTAGATAAATTCCTATGTCAATTATTTCCCGTCAAAAGCTTAATTCAATAGTCAATAAAAGAATAATGATTAGTTTGGTACTATTGTTCACTGTCGCCATGAAGATGAATGTGTAATAATAGAGGCAGTCAACAGTGAAATTAAATTCAGAAACTTCAAAGATTCTAGGAAAATTTGCACACATACCACACAATTCATAAGTATTTACATATCTAACAACTAAACTTTTATTTTCACATGCATACCATCTTTACCTATATATGATACCTATATATGAAAGGGTGTATTTAATTTTTTTTAAAGTTAAAATAGTGGTACTTTTTATGTGATACGACAATTTGCGAAAAAAATATAAGTGACAAAATTTAGACGTTAGATAAGTAAATACATAGAAATTGTGGGGAAAGTATGTAAATGCCCCAAACATAAAACAAAGAAAGCATTACAGAGGTAACAATAAACGTTAGACAATGAACGGTTGGGAAAGAAGCTGATTGGGTCAATATATATAAACACAGAGCACACTAGGTACTGGCCATTAAAATGACAACATACGCTATTTATTGCCAAATTATTGTCATAGTAATTCTAAGCATGGAAAATTTAACTTGTCAGTGCGTTTGAAAACAAACCATGGCATAAAACTAAATTCAACAATTGCCTCTAGCAATGTTATCTTATTGGTCCAGTGCTAATGTTCAAGTTGTAGTGCACTTGATTAAAAACAGAAATGATAATATAGTCCCCAAGAATGAACAAAAAACATCTTTAGGGCAACTTCAGCAAATATCAAAATTGTGATAGGAGATATGCTAACAACAAAAAATAAATGCAATTTCCATGCCTTGTCCTTTAAAGCATAGTGAGGGGCAAAGTTCATTTTTTAACCAAACATAAAATAAATTGTTGCCTTTCGCCATAGAATGTGCTCCTTACTTCTAACATTACTAACAAAATGTAGATTTAGCACATTTTTAAGACGTCAGCAGCGCAAAAATTTGAATGGGTGAGGCAAGACACAAAAATTAAAATATGAGTTGACGCCTACCTCACTTCATTCACTTTGGTTGCCCCAAGACGCCTGAACATCAATAAAATTTTACATGCATATGATTCAATTTCTATGTATTTATATATCTACAACTAAACTTAAATTTTTACATATATGCCACCTTACCTATCTATGAACATGTGTATTTCACTTTCTAAAAGTCCAAATAGTGGTATTTTATGCAATATAAAAGATTTGGATGGTATACGTAAAAATTGAAAGTGAGAGATAAAACTACCAAAAAAAAAAACAAAATAAAAGAATTGGGTGATGGCTGCATCTCTTCATTCATTTTGCTTGCCCGAAAACTCCTGAGTATCAATAAAATTTTACATAAATGCAACTCAATTTCTATGTATTTATATATCTAACACCAACACTTAAATTTGTACATGCGATATCTTACCTATGTGAAAAGTGTGTATTTCACCTTTTAAAAGTCAAAATAGTGGTATTTTTATGTGATATATAAGATTTAGAAGTATATGTAAAAATTGAATGGGAGAGACAAAAAAAAAAAAAACATACTAAAAACTAAAAAAAGCTTGCATCACGTCATTCATATAGCTTGCCCAAGGAATCCAGAGTATCCATGAAATTTTACAAGCAAACGACTCAATTTTTATGCATTTATCTAAAACCTAAACTTAAATTGTGATGTATGTCACCTTACCTGTGTATGAAAATGTGTAATTTACTTTATAGAAGTCAAAATAGTAATATTTTTTTGTGGTATAAAAGATCTGGCTAGTATAAATGTAAAAAATGAAGTTGAGGTGTTAGATATAAGTTGAGGTGTTAGATATGGTAAATACATAGAAATCGGGGGTACACGTGTATGTAAATGGCCATAAACATAAGACACCCTTGCTCATTAAACAATAAATAATAACCTAATAAATACCATATATCCAAGAACTGACAAAACCCACTAATCCACTATAACTCAACCTAAACTAATCATTATAATTATTATTCTAGCATTGTCGCCGCTTAAAATCAGCCTTGCCCGAAAGGCCAATCAAATAGCCATAACTCAACCTAATTTTATGTCACCATATAAAACTCTAAAATAGCCAATTTATAGTTCAACAAATAATTATAGTTCATAGATGTTGTCGCATCAAGGAGACAAATATCAATAGCTATTTGATTAGATGGCATATGTCCCAAGCAAAATAAACTCAGCCAACTGAAAGACACTTGTATTTCAGCAATCCATAAGTTCTCCGCAACTATACTTCTAAAAATTGTTTTTGAAATATAGAAAAATATTAATTTACAAATCCTTGTATTTTATTAGGCTTACTTTGACATCATTCGATGATCTTGTACATTTGGCTAACAATTTGAAAAGTATGCCTCTTCACCAACCAGCTTCACTCAAACGAGCAATAGAATTCATCTAATTGGAATGTCACCATTACAAGCTCTATACGACAATAATTGCATCAATAAGACCTTATATCAATCGCAACTTCAAGATTGAAGAAGTCAACGAATAGTTGCACTGGCTCGATGATTCTTTACGCAATCACCACACAGGCTTAAGATAGGAGATTTACATGCAAGCCACTTAAAGTTACGTATTTATATATCTAACATCTAAATTTGAATATACTTATATACATAAAAAGGTGTATTTCACTGTTTAACAGTTAAATTAGTGGTACCTTTGATATGATATCAAATATTTGGGTGGTATAAATGAAAAAAAAAATAGAATTAGGTGTTAGATATGTAAATATATAAGAATTGGGTCACAAGTAAATAAACTCCCACTGAAATAAGCTCAGCAGAAAATGAAACAGTAACTCAACAAACATCATTAAAACCTCAAAAATGTCAGTGACCACGTCCTTAGTAATTGGTGACCATATTGAAACAAATCACACAACTCAGAACTCGGACAGAGTAGGGTTTATAGCTTATAAGTTGGCATTGCAGGTGCCTCAAAACCAACCGATTGTCCACGTATCAATAATAAAATGAAAGAAAGATAAAATTTTTTATAACACTAAATTATTACAAGAAAGAAAATGTGCATTCATAGAACGCAATTTTTATGTATTTACATAGCTCAGGCCTAAACTTTTATATTTACATACATAGCACTTTGGTGATTTAAATCTATCAATGAAAAGTGTATTTTATTTCTAAGGATTTTAGTGTTAGGAGTGTAAAAATGAAAGTTAAGGAGTGAGATGTGTAAATACATATGAATTGTGTAATATGTATGTAAATGCCCCTTATAAGAAATGCAGCTGAACCAACCCATATAGAAATCCGATCATGTCCTAAACTCTCGCCAAATCCTTCGCTGCAATGACAGTGAAAAGCAGCACCGAATGCAATGGAAAAACTTGCCACCAGATGTTGCATTACTCGAGAGAATTTGTGGCATTTTTACCCCAAGACCTTGAGGACAAGATCGTTTACAAAGGAAGACTGGAATTGATGTGAACCTCAACAGCGAAAGAAAACCCAATCAAATCACATCGCCACATCCACGACAAAATCGCAAGACAACAACTTGGCCAAAAATTATCATCTAGAGAAATGATAGTAATGAGAAACTTAATCATTGATAAAATACACGTTTTTTTTTTAAGCAAGGACTATTTAATAGTACCTTTACGGAAGTTAGGTGGCACATTTTAATAGAATTTATCACGGAATTTATTAAAACAAGGCAAATACTAAAATGCAAGAGTTTCATGGATTTATGAGATTTCGGTTTAGAGCACAAATTTTGACTTTGATTTGGCTTGAATCCAGATTTACTAAGTCAACGTGTAGGGTGGATATAATGGATTTGTGATTCACATATTTACAATATCCTAATAACGCTAACTCCTACTTGTAGCCAAACAGCCCCACATAAATCATGTAAATCCGAATTTATTAAATCATAACAATAACAGGATTTACTAGTATCGAACAAATCCAATATTAAGATAAAACTGAGAGGAAATGGAAAGAAATTGGATTTACTAAATCCATGTTTTAAATTTTGAGCTTATTTTTTTGTATGGTAGGTTTAAGTTAAATCCCACTTAGGAGGTGTTTGAAAGCATAATTAAATGGAATTTAGTCATGGATTTAGCATAAATCCAGCCAAACATCAAATAATAAAAATTGAATACAATACTCCATTAAACAAAATTATTTCATGTTCCGACTTTTCTTCGGATGTTATTCCTCTTTTGTGACATATATCCAAATTTACTAAATCTGTATGACAGTAGGGATTCAGATTTTTTTCTATCACACTACAACCTTCATTTTCATCACAATTTTCGTCAATATAAATCCAGATTTATCACATTTACTAAATCCTATTTAATGTAAATACCGGTTGCAGCAAAAACAAACCTTAAATTGGTTATTAGACCACCCCTTAGTTGAATTTGTTATGCTTAGAACATGTCTGCTTTACATTTGATAGATTATGAAACTTGTCATCAAAAGCTAAAACATCGAGTTGTTTCTTCTTCTACAATGTTTTATTCATTCTCTTTCTGCTTCTCCCAAAAAGTCTTCTTGGGGGCACATCCTTGTATTTCTACCAACGCAATGCCAGACCAAACTAAAGGACTATTAAGCCACTTTTATATGAAAACCCATATTTTGAAATTATTTTCAAGCACAATGTAATAAAGCCTCTAACTGTAAGCAACCAAATAGACACTAAGGGAGTGTTTGGAAGCACACATATTAAAGGATTTAGCCATGAATTTAACTTAAAATCTAGCCCAACATAGATAAAAAATTCCAAAGCTCCCTTAAATCGAATTTCCTTGCGTTCCATAGTTTTTTTTGCTCGCACTTTTTTCATCTGTTCAACATAAATCTGGATTTAGTAAATCCGATCTTGAGATGGATTTATTCCGTTGCCATGCGAGCTAGTCTGTTCCCCTCTTGTCATTTGATTAATATGGATTAATCGGATTAGATAAAGTAAATCTGAGTTGCAATAAAAAACCGCCTAAAAATATAGAATATCTTAAAAGCAAGGCATGTTCACAGTTAAAGCTATGCTGGCCGCCTTGCACATGTATGTGTACTCCGTTAAATGTACATTAGTCAATTTAGATACCGCACGCCAATAGATTAAAATTTAATTTGCAGGTAATGTTCATTGCGTGATCCTTCCGCATATCAACCATAAACAAAAGCTTAATGCTTGTGAACAGAAGTGGAAAAACAACCTTATGCACGATAGACCGTGAGCAGGAGTAATGAAGAAGAATAAACCTGTGCGAGGTGGCTTGGGTGAACCCATATAAATGGAATTCAAAGAAAATTAGAATATTACAATCACCACAAAATACCTCATTTTCCTTGCTCTATGCCCCATTAATTAGATAGACACAGTAGGGTTCCAATACGCCGACGCTTTCCTCGATATCACCATCTCGCTGCTCCACAGGAGCAAACAATCAGATCGAAAGCAAATACTGCAGAAACATTAACAAATCTACTCCAAAAAATGCATGCGACGTATCGAATCTCTACTTTTAGTAAAAACATTAGGGTGAAGTGCGAAAGTTGGTCTGATCTTGCCTTAACTACCAATTTTCAAAATCGATCAGAACCAATTCTGATGAAATGGAAATAATGAAACGGAAAAAAAAACGAAACCATACATGACTTACAGAAGAACAAATGAGAGCTGGAGCGGGATTCGAACTTTTCTTCGATGATGAGAGAGGAAGGACGAACGGGGAGAAGTGCGAATGCTCTAATGAAACCCTAGGATATATAAATATATATAAACAAGACCTAATAAGCTATGAGGCGTTCGATCAAAATCACACGGCTCTGGAAGATATGGCTTTGTTAGCTCGCGAACATTCAAATAATCCCTTTTTTTATTTCTTTTCTTAGGAAAATTCAAAAAAAATAAACGCATTTTTTAAATCCGGTAATCAAATCATAACAGGAATTTTTTTTACTTTTACCAATTTCACAAAAGTAATGGCACCCATAAATATATAAATTTCATTATTTTAAAAATATAATATAAATATTAATTTTATAGATACATAATATTTTAGTGTTATTATTGTAATTCCCACAAATAACTCTTATTTTGATGAACAATTTTTGATCAAGCACAAATTTAAATATATATATATATACCCCGACACACGATGTGGATATATATATTTATATTTATAAGAGATATTCTAATTTCAAATTAAATATCATATGTAACCGACTATAATCAACCAATTAGATTATATTTAGAGACTTTTGATTATAAATTGATTTGTCAGATGAATGTCAAATATGACATATTTATAGCTAAATTAAGAGTCTTAATGAAACAAATCTAACGACCTTAATATCATTAGATTCTAATGTCATTAACCACCCAAATCATTAAAAAAATTATATATGATCAAGGAAGATCAACGAGAGCTGTCAAATCGGTTGGTTAAAAATTTTTTGTTAAAAATGTAGAAATGTCACTCTCTAAAAGTATGTAAATAGACTCGTTCTCTTAACTTTAAGAATAGAAAAATAAGAGAAGGCGAAGTCAAATTTCATAATATGTGTTAGAGAATACCCGGTGAGTAATCGCAGACCTCTATAGTCGCCGACCATCGTCAACCAACACACCTCAACTCAACATGTCATCGTCATCCGAGGACCATTAAATGCAATTGTTTATTCCATATATGAATATTGTGTCCAACACATGCATTGAATATTCAACAAATACCACCGACCTTCGTAGTTATCGACCGTTGTCGTCGTTAATCAGCATTAGTTCTCACCACTCGTTTGCATTGACCAACGCGCGTTAGCAACCTCTTCTTATGATCGTCGTGGTTGGAGTATGGTTGTTATTTATAACACCTATATTTTTTTAACGCTGTATAAAAATAAGTTATTTCCGGTGTAAAATTATAGCTCCATAATCTCTATAATGAGATAAATGTTTCATCTATCGGCTAAAATCATCAATCTTCATGATCAAAGCCTTTATGAAAGACTATTGTTGATATAAATTTTAACTACACCATTTTTATGGAAAATTACTAGTTAGCCTTTATGGAAAATTACTAGTTATATTTACACGTATAATGCTTAAATTATATTATCTATTTATTTAACTTTTAAATAAGCAAATCACATCAAAAATAACACAAATATTAACATTTTTATGCAAAATCTTTATCTTTTCATTCCTACGGTTTGATATAATTAAGACTTTAAATGCTATATAAGTAAATATCAAGATTTAAATAATAGATATTTAAATATACAAGAATTTTATGATAGGCAGGTAAAATCCACCTTAAATTTAATAAATAAATGCAGATTTACATACATACCACTCAATTTCAAAGTATTTACACCTGTAGCACCTAAATTGTTATTTTTACATGTATGTCACATTACCTATGTAAGAAGAAGGTTTATCTGACATTTCAAAAGTTAAACGGGTGATAAATGTTATGTGATTGTGATTTGAAATATCTCGATGGTAAGAATATATTATTGTACATTTTAGGAGTTAGATGTATTAATAATACAATGAAAATTGGTTATTTGGAGCCAGGGAGAGGCAAAAGGCCATTGCATGCTGAAAAATATTACATCAAGACTCCGAACGTAGAGCTACGTTCTGATTGTAATAGTTAGGAATATCCATTCTGTTAGAGAAATATTTCATCTGCGTTATTTGTAAAAAAAATGAAGTGTTATTCGAGTATTATATTGTGTCATTCGATTATTTTGATATGTTATTGAAGTATTTCCCCGCGTTACTTGATTTGGGACTGAAGTGTTATTGAAATATTCTCCCGCGTTACTTGATTTGAGACTGTGTTATTTAATAACATAGTGAAAATTGAAATAACATGGGGAATATGCCGAATAACACAGCCCCAAATCAAGTAACGCGGGGGAATATTCCAATAACACCGCTAAATAATTGAATAACACTATATAATACTCGAATAACAATTTATTTTTTATAAATAATACAAATGAAATATTTTTATAATCTTAACTATTGTAATCCGAACGTAATTCTGCGTTCGGAGTACTAATGTAATATTTTTTCATTGCACGCATCCGAAACTCCATCATATAAAATGATTTGGGCCCTGAATATAAAAATTAAAAGTTTCCGACGTGAGATCTGCAAATAGAAATGTTGGAGTGTTGTGTATGTGAAAACTTTTTATTCCTATAATGCATCATTGGCACTCAGCAGTCAAAAGTTTGATTTTGCATTTTCTCATGACAACAATAAAATTGGATATATTTCAAATGATTATTAGCTAAATACAAGCTTAAAGTCAATGATTTGAATGTTAACTAATATAATATACATGCTAAACAACATTGTATTTATTAAAGTTTAGAAATGATAGATATCAGTGTATATTTAAAAATGGTATGTACGGATGTCGAGACAATCCAATTATCGATCATCTTATTTCAGTCGACCAATCATGCTCTCTCTCCCGCCCATCTCATTTCAATGGATTGGCCAACATCTCTCCCTCAGCCACCTCATTTCAGTCGGTTAATTAATACGGACATTAAAGTCTGCATGGATTTCGAGACGATCTAATTGTCAAAATAAAAAAAAATTAGAATGTCATTTGTTTATCTCTAAAGTAAGACTAAACAAGTAATTTCTTATACCGTTTTGTCACATATCTCTTGAAAGTAGGAGGGGCTTCATGATGTTAATTTTGACCTTTTTTGGCTCATCACACTTGTAAAATAAAGTTTTATAAAATAAAATAGGTCAATTAGCTCAAGAACCACCCCCGACACACGATGTGGAAGCGCTTATTCTCTCTCTCATTTCTCTCCCTCTCGATCACTCATTTTTAGACCATCGCTTTATTTCTTGAGCTCGATCAATCAGATAATTTTGAATACAACAGATGTGTGTTAGAAAATTCGCGACGATAAAGTAATGGATTATCATTTTAGTGTTGCACAAGGATTCAACAAACACTCAGATGAAATGGAAGCAATCATTGACGACAACATAAGTTTTTACGCGGAAAATCCGTAAAAGGAAAAAACCCACGTAGTCTGACCCAGTAATAAAAATCCGCTATATGTTGATGATTACTAGTGCCCCTTGTCCCACAAACGGAAAAGGGTTACAAGATCTTCATATTATTACGTCGACTAACAACGTCAGGTTGGTAGTGATTGATAATGATTGGTGGTGATCGAAGATAAATGACGGGGGTCAACGAAAGTCGACGGTGATTGGCGGCGAACGACGGTCGGTGGTAGTTGAGGACTGTTGACGGTGGTCGATGACGGTCAGCGGTGGCTGACGAAGATCAGCAGTGATCGACGGTGGTCGACGAATGTCGGTGGTGGTCGACGACGATCGACGATAATAAAAATGATGTTGGACTTGAACTCCTTAAAGTCTCAAGTTTTCTCTCAAACCTCATCTTTCATGTGAGAGTTGAGACTCTATGTATAATGTTATGAGTGTAATTAATGCACGAATATGAAACATTTTGATCGGACGGTCCAAATGACGTTTGATGGATATTGGAGTGTCATAATGATGTCAAAATTGAGCAGCCTTAAACTCGTTGGATTCGTCTTGTCTAGACGTTCAATTCGACCGTAAACTCGTTAGATTTTATGTCTGTTTGTCCTTCCAAATGACTCAAAAAATCCTCTAAAAGTGGTTTAATGATTTGATTCGGGCTTGATCCGACTCGGATTGAAATAGTTTTTATATCATTGAAACCGTCTCATCAAGCCGATCAGTTTGACTATAAATTTACTGAAATTGGAGCTCTGGATGACTCTTAATTAAAATTTTGATATTTCTTGCTCAAGATATTATCTTGAGATTCATGTCACACATCGAGATAACTCTAGATTCATTTCGGATGATAAAAATTTGTTAAAAACATATCAACAACAATCAAATTAATAGAACTTTAATTTGGAGGTTCCCAAAGATTAATTTGATCTCGAGTTGTCCGTTTGGGGCAGCTTATAAGTGCGGGCGACGTTTTCAAAATGCCGCCGTACTGTTTGGTTCGCGCGTTTCACCAGTTTATTTGAAACTGTGTTTGGATTTTTACACTAAACGCAGGCCGGGGCGACCCCCGCGGGTCGCCCCGCGGGTCGCGTTTCAGGATAAACAGCTTATCCTGAAACGCACAAGCTGCCCCAAACGAATAACAAACCTCTAACATTGGCGTTTAAGCCCTTTCTCGCATTCCACTTGCATGTGGACTTCTGTAGATAAAAGAGCGGCGAGACCGGAGACACCAGTTTAATGTCATCTCACTGCTCATCATAAATCGGACGGCTCAAATCTCTTCGTTTTTCATTTATAATTCCTATAATAAATCCTCTGTTTGGCTCTCTCCCTTCACTCTCTCTGTCTCTTGCTTTGCTATCTTTCTTCTTTGCAGAAAGATCCGTCTTCATTCGCCCTTCGCAATCTCTGCAGATCTTGAGGCATCGAAGAAGTTTCTGGTGATCTTTTCTGATTCCCGGCGATCTGTTTCCGATTTCAATCCGGCGGGTCTTGTTTTTTCGAATCTAAAATCCATTTGAGATATATTGCTGTTCCGATTCAGATGGAGAAAGAAGCAAGGGGCAATCTACGACCCCTGAGAGGAGCTCCGGAGGCAGATTTTCTCTTACAGTGGGGGAGTAGGAAGCGGCCTCGCTGCGTCCGCCCGCCGGGGGGACCCCGGCGGGCCGATCG